TAGAGAAGAAGAATCATCACCATCAAAGCTCGTGCAAGGGAACTTGAGAAATAGGCTTACTTTTATTTTGTCATTTTTGGAATTTAGTCATATATACTCTTTTTGGAATTATAACAAGGGGATGTAGCTCAAATGGTAGAGCGCCCGCTTTGCATGCGGGAGGTACAGGGTTCGATCCCCTGCATCTCCAAACTTAAGCATTCTTCCTCATTCGTGTCCTTCTTTTTGTTCGGTACAGAAGAATCCGGCAGTAGCAGTAGGGAAGCAACGGTGGGCATTGGGCCGAAGAGAAGATTTCTTAGTATTAGAAGTGTAGGATAGAGGAGTTAGGCGGCGGCCTCATTGCGCGATCCGTTTACCCTTTTTCCCTTGCTTTCAATTATTCCAACTGTTCTTAATTACTTTTGATCGAGAATTATTCCAACCGTTGCCTGATTTCAGCTTCCATAAAAACTGCACCAAGCCAAAAAAAAATGGAAACTAGAGAAGAAGAATCATCACCATCAAAGCTCGTGCAAGGCAACTTGAGAAATAGGCTTACTTTTATTTTGTCATTTTTGGAATTTAGTCATAGATACTCTTCTTCCTCCTCCTGCTTGGGATCGACTCCGACAGTAGAAGCAAAGCACCTGCGGAGATCGGGTTGAGGTGGGCGGCTCCGATAGAAAATTTTTACAGTGATAGCAGCGGCCGCAAGACAGAGGATTAGCAGGGATCGGAGGGTAAGAGTGTCAATTTGGTACATTTTAGGGCGATAAAATTTGACATTTAGCGCGACGAATAGCAATGCAGAAAAGAATTTGGGTAAATTGCAAGTTTGGTCACTGGAATTACTTAAAAAGTTTTTGTTTGTCACTAAAATCAGTTTATTCCATCCATAGTCATTTAAAATAGGTTAACAGTCCAAGTTTGATCACTGGCCGTTAGTGTCCGTTAAATTTTGTTGATGTGGTGGTCAACTCTAATAGTTGACCGTTAAATGAGTGACGTGGCAATTTAAAAAAAATAAAATTTAATTATTTTTATTTTTCACCTAATTATTATAAAATTCAAAACAAGAAAATCCAAGGATGTTCAAGCCGCTCCCGGACGACTCGCCTAATTCTTCGATAGGGGGTTGTTTAGAGGCAGAACCGGCTTTGGTCGGGGGATGCGGGGCGTTTGGTTTCCTCGGAGGAGCTGGCAGAGACGGCGCTAAAGTCTTGTTCTGGAGAGGTGGCGGCTGCTTGGGTATTGTTGGTGGCAGTCGAGGCGACATCAAGAGCGCGGTCGGTGGCGGGGGAGGATGGCTGAATTATGAACTGGGCTTAGCTTTCTCTACGACGGTCGACATCAACGCAATCTCACCGCCACCAGAAACAACAGACGCGTAACCGTATGATGAGGACGTTAGCGGAGATCTCACCTAAGGGTGGGCAACCGGTTCGATAAACCCAAACCGAAACCATATTATACCAAACCGAATTAATGCTATTCGGTTAGAAATTTGGAAAGGAAATATGGATATTTTGGAAACCACGGTTCTTTCAACCGAACTAAATTCCGACCAAAAAACCGAATTACTATAATTGCAAGCTCTAAATGGTGGATATTTATGTTTGTACTTGTTTTGAGACTTAAATATTTGAATAATGTTAGTGTTTTATGACTTATGTGTTGAAATGTTTGATTTTATCATTGATAATGTATATAATTGCATATTTATTGTTTACATTCGGGGTGAAGATTTATTTAAAATGGAGAAGATACAAGTATTATCACAAATTCAGTTTGAAGTTTGATGGAATTCGAGGACCCGATGTGTATGATTTTTGTTCGGTTCCAGTATGTATGATTTTGATTCGATCGAAACCGAACCGATCGAATGCCCACCCCTAATCTCACCACCCACCACTACATTTTAATAATCTCTGCAAAAATCCCCTCGAGGATAGGACGATCAGATTGGGTATAGAACTCAAACACATACCAGATCCTTCAATACATATCTTCTAGGAGCTTTCCTTTCCATGGGCGATGCAATCTCCAATTCCGCTGAGACAATCAGCGTCGTCTCCAAGGAGTTCAAAAACAAGCTCGCAACTCCATCTGGGTCGGGCTTCGTTTCGGCAATCGTCGACAGCTTCACACGAAATTCGGTCACGGCCTATTACGAATGCTCTTCCGAACAGGGCAGCGATGACTCTGCTTCAGAATTGATGGAATTGATGTGTAGCCTGAAATGTGAAGACTTGATCGCCCTATGTTCTCAACCAGGGAAGCGATGCCGTCCTCGTCGACAGGAACTCGGAGCTTTTCAAGTCCAAGTTCCTCCTCGGCCGGTGGTTGTCGGGATGGAGCATGGATAAGGCGCTGAAGGAAAGGTATCAAAATGCATAATGGTATTTACATTTTAATGAAATACAATTTGCTTCAAAATAGGTCTAGTTTTTCCCACAAAAAACATTTTTGAAAATAAACTAAAATGGTTATAAGAGAACATATTCGTAATATATTGTTCTTTTAAAATTGTACACAAAAAATATTATGTGAAGTGTAGTATTTATTTAATATACATCTAAATTTTAAGTAGAAGAATGTATTACGTTAGGAAACCACAAGAGAAAAATATGATAAAATATCTTAAATTTATTACAAATATGGTTTGGATACGAACATTTATGATAATAGTTGGAACACGGGTTGGGTCGGGTTCTACGGGTTGCGTAACCCAAAATCCGGACCCAACCCATTAGAGGCGGGTTGTACAAAAATAAAATCCCACCCAACCATAAATCTTAATTTTAACAATAAATACGGGTGGTTTGGGTCGGATTGGATGGGTGGGCCGGTTTGCGGGTTGTTTTGTTCACCTCAAGGTAGGGATGAAGATAATTAGTTTTATTTTTTAATAATTTTGATAATGAGGTGGAAAATAAAAATAATTATTTTTTATTTTTTAATTGTCATGTCACTCATTTAACAATCAACTACGAGAGTTGATCGCCACATCAGCAAAAGTTAACGGAGACTAATGCTAGTGATCAAACTTGGACTGTTAACTTAATTTAAGTGACAACGAATGAAATAAATTAATTTTATTGACAAATATGAACTTTGTAAATAATTCTAGTGACCAAACTTACAATTTACCCAAAAGAATTTATATGAAAAAATTAAGGGGTCGTTCCAAATCCAACACTAATTGGAAATTTGGAATCAGTTAAATCCCGTGTTTGGGTGCATAAAAATTTGAGTATCAAACCACCTCTAGTATCTTTTAATTGAATAAAACTTTAAATGTGATAGAACGTTGAAATGCCTAGAATTTAGATCGACGACACTATTGAATAGATAATCATAGTGAATTGTAAAATGGTAAAATTTAGCTACTCTAGAAAAGAATTATTGTGAAAAAATTGAGAGGTCGTTCCAAATCCAACACTAATGTGAATCTGTTTAAACCAATGTTTGGGTCCTTAAAAAAGTGGGTATCAAATTCGTAGACCTATGAATTTGAAAATCTCACGTCAATTGGTAAGATTTGAGAGAAGGAACCAAATCTTTGTTACTAAATGACTCTCATATCCCCATAAGTTTTATTCTGGTTCATATTTGCCATCATTATTTATTTTTCCTTGTCCATGAAATCAATCGTTCAGAAATTGGAAAATAATCCAAAAAATGAAAACTATGGTTGTGTATAACAAACAATACAAACCCAAGAAAAAATCCAAGCAACTCGTCTAATGAAACAATAATCTTTTTATCCAAATTAAAATTTTGTTTTTTTATCCTAAAATCCTAATGGTTTATTTTCTTCGTAAAAACAAAAACCGAAGTTACGAGTTTTTATTTGGTGACTAAGAAAGTCATCTTTTTTCTTCAGTAGCTTTGGCTAGTTTTAAATTTTGCAATTGGCTCTACACGATGTTGTAAACGTTATTTCTTGGTAATACAAGTTATATTGATTAAAAAACTAAAGTTATGAGTTCGCTTGAACAAAAGGATGAAAGGTTGAAAAACAAAAGACAATTTAAATTTTTTTCCCCTTAGAAAGGTAAACTGATTGAAAATAATAGAACAATTGGAGATAGTAAGATAAATAAAACTTTCAACTCATAAATAATATTGAGCACAATCCATCATAAAATGTAGTATCCAAACAACAATTTTTAAAATTCCAAATCATCCATCGCCATTTTTTTTTATTTTTACAATCTAAAGTTTGATTAAAAATATTATTTTTCAAATCAAATTCGAGTTGTATAGAAAATACCATCAATTCGAATTTAAATTTTATTAATGCAAGACGTAGAATTTTGATTATTCTCTAGGCCATACCTAATACCTTCCCTGCTTCCCGTCCTTTATCAAATTTAATAAATAAAAAACATTACCTTCCCATCCAAATTGACTAAAAGCTGGCAGATGAAATGGCATGAAGAAAAGAAAACTTATAAAAAGAAGAGCTAAAATGCCTAAGAAAGTGGGACACGGAAGCGAGTTGTCAAACCGGTTTATGCCGGTGTGTTGGTTTAGCAAGCAGAATGGTTCAACTGGTGGCACATATCGGTTTGTGCCGCTTCATGCCGGTCAATATTACAAATAAAATTATAAATACTCATATTTAAACATGACATTTAGCGTCAATTCCTAAACATTTATACTTAATCCAACAAATAACATCAATATTTAACTTTTATACTCATAAAATAAATAATAAAATAATTTTTATCAATTAAATTCTCTAAATTAAAGTCATTTTGGTTAGAGATTCGTATATCGATCATGCCAATCATACCGGTGATGTCATGCCAGTTTTATAACCGATATCGATTGAATCCGATACAACCGGTGGCACGCTGGCCGGCGTGACAACCATGCGCACTCCTTTCCTTTTCGATTACCGTTCGTGGGGTGCCGCCCGGCAATTATTTGCTGCCTAAAACACCCCCTGTTACTCGATTCCAAACTCAGTATCCACTTAGACATAATCGTAAATCTTCTACTGTCCAGGGGCATAAACGAAATATTGATTTTCCCGCTCAAAACTCCTGGGGAGGAGGGAATACTGGAGTGGAGACACTGAGATAATTAATATCATAAAACAAACTCCATTTCCAAATATTTTCCAACTTTTCGAGTTCTCTGTCCTCTCACCGTCGCGCTGTGCTGCCTCCGCCTCTTCAATGTCCGCTCCTCTGCAATCCGTCGCTGAGCAAGCTCCCTGTGCCGGTCCGTCTGCTGCTTTCAGTCTTCGTTCATAGTTCTTCGTGGTTACTTGGTGCTTTCATTTTGTGTTTATTTCTGCGTGCCTAGGGTTTTCTGTTCCTGCACTTGTGTGTTTACGAGTTAAGACTGTAGCTCATTGCACGCTTTTGTTGATGCGGTAGTCGAAATTGCGAGGGATTTCTGTTTGCGTCGCTGCGCCGTTGGAGCTGCTCTGATTTTGTTTGTGGTGTTTGTTCTAGGGCTGGATATGAATCTGATTCAGGGTGAAATGAAGAACGACGCTTCCGTCGACTCTCCGACGTCGGTTCTCGGAGATGAGGTGCGTTCTTTGACCTCCCTTTTCCACGGTTCTCGTGTGCTGCTTTTTTGCTTAAATTTTTGAGGTCTCATGTTTCTGTTTGGTTCTCCGGGGAGTTGGGGGGAAAAAAAAGAGACATGGAAATCTCATACTTTGTAATGTCGGCCCTACGTCGAGGAACTCTTATGCATTTCAGAAGCTTTGCTTTTGCGAGGCTTCTAAAATAGATTCTACAGCGCAATGCTTAAAATGCTTCATCTGGATGCATTTCTATCCAACTTAGGTCAATGATACTGAGCTACTTTGTTGTTCCAAGGGATTGTTTGCTACCATGTTTAGTTCCTGAACTTTTTCGCATTTTTCTGGGATGTGAAGGATAATTGCCAGAACAATTTGGAAGCTAAATCTGAGGAAGACACTCTTCAAGAGGGAGGGATTGGGGATTCCTCTCTCATATCAAAGACAATGAAGGAGGAGGAAGAGAAGTTGTTGAACTACAGGGAGAAAGAAGAAGCAAAATCAGAAGAGCAGGAGGCACCTCATTTGAATGATTCTCAGTTTACCAAGTTGGATGAGCTTCTTACTCAGACACAGATGTACTCGGAGTTCTTACTGGAGAAGATGGATGAAATCACACATGTACCTCTCAAACATGTTTATGCTGTAACATTTCCCCCCTCTTGTCATTGGTATCTCTTAGTCACGTGTCTTACAATTTGAGAGTGAGTTTGCAGAATGGCGGGGAGCAAGAGGATGAAACTGTTGAGAAAAAGAAAGGCCGCGGTTCAAAGAGAAAAGCTGCTGCAGGTTGTAATACGGTAAATTTCTTTTCCGATATATAAACTATACTGTGTATTCTATTCTGGACTGTTGAAGCTATAACCTTTCAGGCCTCCCTTGAGTTAATCAATATTTAATTACGCAATTGTGGTTGATTCGTGTAATTTTGACAGGTGAGCTCTTCTTGTCTCCAGTTATTTTTCTTACTGAGTTTTCTGTTATTCCCATGGTTTCAGAGAAAAGCCAAGAGGGCCATTGCAGCCATGATTACCAGATCAAAAGAAGTAGAAAGTGCTGAAGATGCCAATTTGAGTGAAGAAGATAAGGTTGAGAAAGAGCAGAAGGAGCTGGTGCCATTGTTGACTGGTGGCAAGCTGAAGCCTTATCAACTCAAAGGTGTCAAGTGGCTGATCTCTTTATGGCAAAATGGGTTGAATGGCATCCTTGCTGATCAGATGGGGCTCGGGAAAACTATTCAAACAATTGGTTTCCTTGCACACCTTAAGGGGGAGGGTTTAAATGGCCCCTATTTGATAATAGCTCCTCTTTCTACTCTGGCAAACTGGGTGAATGAGATTTCAAGGTATAGAGTCACTGCCTTTTCTTGCGAAGTCTAATACAATCAAGAATTTATGGTTTACTTGGATTTTGTGAATCTTTGATTCCCAATCAGGTTTGCTCCATCTTTGAATGCTGTAATCTACCATGGTGACAAGAATCAGAGGGATGAGATAAGGAGGAAACACATGCCTAGATCTATTGGCCCAAAATTTCCCATTATTGTTACTTCATATGAAGTTGCATTATCTGATGCGAAAAGGTTTCTGAGACACTACTCTTGGAAATATGTTGTGGTTGATGAGGTGAAGTCTCTCTTTATAACTAATGTGTTTGATCTTTAGATGCCCTTGCACTTTGATTGTTTTTTGACCCATTCATCTCTTTATTAGGTGTGTTTTATGCCTAAACTATTCTGTTGGTACACTTCTAACCATTAATTGTCTTCAGGGTCATCGACTGAAAAACTCCAAGTGTAAACTGCTGAAACATCTAAAGCTTATTCCAATGGAGAACAAACTTTTGTTAACTGGAACCCCTCTGCAGAACAATCTTGCAGAGCTTTGGTCCTTGTTGAACTTTATATTACCAGATATTTTTCAGTCTCATGAAGAATTCGAGTCATGGTTAGCATCTTCTTAAGCTCTTTTGCGTAACTTAGTTGCCATTTGATAGCTTCCTGTTTCTTCACTTCATGACAGAGTTGATAATGCTCAATTCACCTATGGAGCAACTTCATAATTAAATGACGATTCACTTCATAACTTATTAATGGCTTCTCTCAGGTTTGATCTGTCAGGAAAGTGCAACAATGAAGACATGAGGGAAGAGCTAGAAGAGAAGAGAAGATCGCAGGTATTGCATTCTTGTTTTGCTGCTTTAGAAGACATTAAGCTTTTTGGCTGGGCTTTATAACCACGTTGGTTTTTTTTCCAGGTTGTGGCTAAACTTCATTCCATCCTCCGCCCATTTCTCCTCAGAAGGCTGAAGGCTGATGTTGAGCAGCTGCTCCCTAGGAAGAAGGAAATTATACTATATGCAACCATGACTGAGCACCAGAAGAACTTCCAGGATCACTTAATTAACAAGACACTTGAAAATCATTTGCGAGATAAAGCTATTATAGGAGGTAATGCATGGAAGCCCTCTTATTTATGGTGACTCATCTGCTGTGATTATTGGTATTGTAAATTTGAGCAAACTGTGTTACTTATAAAACTACCATCGTGTGCTATGTTTGCTCTTCTATCAAATGGGTGCCCTATTAAACATCATGTGAATGCGTCCGTGGTAGAAAGCGCTCTATGGTTTCTGTAACTGGCTAATATTTCAGGAAATCTATTTTGTAGCTTTAGTAAAGATGATAAATTTGGGGTTGTCTGCATGATGTGCAATTTTCAGATATTGCACCATATTTTGATGTACTGCATGATCAAAATGTTTGGTTCAGTTATTTTAATGTGGTATTAATAATCTTCTCTGTCTAATCTAAGCTGAATCTTGTACCTTGCAGCACCTGGCATGAAAGGGAAGTTAAACAATTTGGTTGTTCAACTCCGGAAGAACTGCAATCATCCAGATCTCTTGGAGTCAGCCTTTGATGGCTCATGTATGTCCTTAACTGCAGTACGCTAACGAGCTATTTAGTGATGTGAACTGCAGATTCAATAGAGATGATATGTTTATATAATATTTGTAGATATGTACCCGCCTGTTGAGCAGATCGTTGAGCAATGTGGCAAGTTCAAGTTGCTGGAAAGGTTGCTGAAGCGGTTGTTCGAACTCAAGCATAAAGTATGACTAAGGCCGATCTCATAGAAAGTAAATGTGCTGATGCCTTTTACACTCATCATCTTCTGTTGATTTCCTGGGCAGGTTCTGATATTCAGCCAGTGGACTAAGATCTTGGACATCATGGACTACTATTTTAGTGAAAAAGGATTTGTGGTGTGTAGAATTGATGGTAGTGTCAAGCTGGAAGAAAGACGAAGACAGGTTTGGTGCCTCCATTGACCCTTTTCAGTGACGAAGATGACTGTCTTGCATTTACCACTTAATGTTTACTCGGGAGTTGACACATGCTATGAGAATGATACAGTAGCTATATTTCTTTGCTTAGTCTTCCTTGCGATACTGGTGTTTTGTATGGTAGACGAGCATGACATGTTTTTTTGTTTTTTGACAGATTGACGAATTCAATGACATTAACAGCAGTTGCAGGGTGTTTCTTCTGAGCACCAGAGCTGGTGGATTGGGTATCAACCTCACTTCAGCTGATACTTGCATACTCTATGATAGTGATTGGGTAAATTTTGCTCATTATATGCACATTTCTCATTTTTCTGATTCTACACCCAAATCATTCCAGATCTCTTATTCCCGTGCTCCAAAAATTCCAAATATGTGCAGAATCCACAAATGGATTTGCAGGCAATGGACAGGTGCCATAGAATTGGCCAGACAAAACCTGTCCATGTTTACAGGCTAGCAACGGCCCAATCAGTCGAGGGTCGAATTCTGAAAAGGGCGTTTAGCAAGCTGAAGTTGGAGCATGTTGTGATTGGGAAGGGTCAGTTTCATCAAGAACGAACCAAGGGTAACACCTTGGCTAACTTGGAGGTGGTGCATCCTTCCTTCTCCCTCTTGTTTTCTTGTTTCCATTTTCTAGAACTTTTTTCCTCAGCCTCTTGAGGAATTTTGCTATTCTGATTGTATTCGTACAGGAAGAGGATATACTAGCACTGCTTCGTAATGAGGAAACAGCTGAAGACAAGTTGATACAAACAGACATCAGCGAGGAAGACTTGGAGATAGTGATGGATAGAAGCGACCTTATTAACATACCCTCCTTTGACAACAGCAACAAAGGAAACGGTGCTGCTGCTGCTGGATATCCTGTTAAGGGGCCTGGCTGGGAGGTGGTTATTCCCACAATGACGGGAGGCATGCTCTCCACCCTCAACAGCTAACAACTCGAGCTATAAGTTGTAGCGTTGGTTGTACGAGAGGTGCCCTGCACAAGGGGTGTAGCTAATTTTGGGGCTAACAGAAGTAGAGGGATACTGCTTTTATCTTTTGTTGAACAAGCCTCCTGGTGCATGTTTGTACTAGGCTGGAGCTGTGCCCTTCCATTTTGCCATTTTGGGGATGATTCGATGATGGATAGCAAGGATGGTTAGGAATTGGGAGATCGAGTTATATTTTGTTGATAGGAGGTGGTTGTCAAAGCTCGTTTTTAGGAGTTGGAGAACTGAACTTCGGAATAGGATTTGTTGTTATTGGATGGCTAAAGTAAGATGGCTGTATATCTGTAATGGATGATAGATATTGTTGTTCGAAAATGTTGGTTCATCCAAGGGAAATGCGTTCTGCTTTCTCTCTGTTAGGCTGGTAGTAAGGACTAAGGAGAAATATCAAGCCAACATGGTTAAATCTTAGAGAATAGATGATGGGCAAAGTAAACTATGTTAACTTTTGACACTTAAAAGTTAAAAGTCAAAATTGTTAATCACAACAAGGGAATAGATGTGTCAGAGCAAAAAGATTCCATTGCCGGGAATCGAACCCGGGTCTCCTGGGTGAAAGCCAGATATCCTAACCGCTGGACGACAATGGAACTGATAGTGAGATTATCACCTAAGATTATTTAAATTAGATGTGCCTGTCATATTGATATTGCTAAAGCTTAAATGTATGTTCGTCTTTTGGATGATAGAGATATTCATCCATTTTCCCTTTTGTTCCCATTCCATCTCCTGACCCATATTTAAACCGTTTTTCAATAAATAATCTTTTGACTAGCTCAGCTCAGCAATTCTTAACCCAGCTGGAGATCTGTCTTACAGAATAAGTCTGTGCAATCGTTTCCCCATTTAATGCATCCATCAACAAACACCAATTACTCCTAATCTCATTTCTCACAGTTCGGTGAAAGGAACAATAATATACATCTCAGCACCTTTCATTTGCTTCTTAATCTGCCACTTTCACCCCCATAGATACACATAGTTGCAACTGTTCTTCAATCCGTCCAATGATCCAACGCCGCTGTCTCTTCCCCCATTTTTGCAACACAATATACTTCCTTCCCTCCGTTACCCAATGACTCTCATACTCCGTCACAGATAGTCAATGGACATGGCAACCAGCTTCTACCTTGCGGAGCTCTGGCAGTTCCTTTCTTAAAGTGGACAAGAGAATAGAAGCATATAAGTTCCAAAGTGCAAAATCTACACCTGTGGCACTCCATACTTCCCCAGCCTAGCTGCATCATCATTCACTTGCGCTTCTTCCAATGTCGTGATTATTTCCGGTATCGACATCCCTCCCGAGATCACTATTTCTGCCCAACCAAACAGAAAACCCATAATCAGGATCATTATGAACTCGTGTAATTTCAGAACTTGTATTAGAAAAAACGAAACTCTCACCAATTCCTTCCCGCACTGACAAATTAGGCCTCATGACATCTTTAGAGCTGACCAGGTATATATCCCCAAGGTAAAGGTGGTTCGTTGGCACATAGACGCAGCAGAGCTCCTCTGTACCCAAGTTCCCACGCAGGAGCACCGTCGAAGTAATGAACCCGAACGCGTACTCACCGTTACGCGGATGCCTGATGATGGCTACCTCCTTGAACGCATTGGACTTCTGATCTGCAAACCAAGTTCAAAAAGTTTTGTTCTTTGAACTCTAATCTTGTCCCCCAACTTGTTTGAAGCAGTAGGTTATTTGATGTTTTATTGTGATACTGTTTCACCTGACGAGATGGCTGCGCTGATTTGTTTAGAAGCAGAGTAGATGTAGCTGACGAAGGGCATTTTGTTGATGAACCACTCCCCCAAGCTGAGAACAGAAGCGCCCAGCCACGACGACATGAACACGCCGACTAGGAATATGAATGTGAGGGAGGTCACAAATCCAAGCCCTGCCCATAAACAAAAAATGGAGTTAGCAAAGGAAACCCCATCTCAGAATGGAATAACAAGTTAAAGAAGGTACCCACCAAATACATTGATTCCGAGTAGAGCATAGATGGGAGAGAAGAAACTATCGACGAATCGGATAAACCACCATGTAACACAGAATGTTATGGCTATTGGCAGCAAAATTACACTGCAGCAACAGCAAGGAAGAACACCACAAGCAATTTGATATTGAATGTATGAATCTAACAGAGAAAAATGTAATTTATGTTATCCCTAAATTCCTTGCTCAAATTAGAGGCCAAACCTTCCTGTGATGAATTTCTTCCATGCCCAGCTACGGATTAGCTTTGAAAATGCCTGTGCAAAGAAATCAATCACATAGTTCATATAACCCAGACAGCCCCCCCCCCAAAAAAAACCACGAAACCCTAAATCAGATCGTTTTGGCCAAAAATGAGTGACCCGAAAGAAATCATAGTATTCATCATTTCTCGTCCTGAAAAAAACTCTGGTCACCGAACGAACGAGCGATCACGCTGAAAAGATATTGAGCAAGGGGGAAAAAGAAGAAGAAGAAGAGCCCTAATCGTGAGAGAAGAAGAAGAGAATGGGGAATTTTCGGACCTCTTTGCCGGAGCTATGAGAGATGATGGCGGAGGGGGCGGCGGAGGCAGAGGAATTGGAGCCACCATTGGTGCTGATGCTCTCCTGAATCTGTTTGGGCGGAACGGGTATTAGCCGCTCCAGATCCCTCTCCCTCTCCCTCGACGCCATTGTTGCCAATCTCGACGAATTCCTTCTGCCCTTCGTCGCCCCTTCTCTTTTATGGCGCTCTAGAATCGTTCTTCCTGCTGTTTCCAGCAACAGTGTCCGGTGTCTGGCGCTCCGGCTAACTGGAAAAAAGAATGAGAAATAACCATCTCTCTCTCTCTCTCTATAACGAACTGTCTTTTTGTCGCTTTCCGTTTCTATTCCCCTCCATATGGGCCTCCTAACAGCGACCGTACGCTCAAATTGTTTCGGCCCAGCCCAATGTTAACTTCGGCCGTTAAGGCCCATAAACATGATGCACAGAAAAAGAAATAGGGACTACAACAGACTGGTGAGTTGGTAACTAACGACTAGCCAAAATTTAGCTTTTACCGTCTCACCGCTGGTTCGCTGGTTCTTTTCGTCGGCCGGTACGATCCTCTGCCGGAATCCGGAAGCGACTCGCAGGAAATTTCTCTGAGGGGAGCAACTCAGTGTTGTTTCTGATCCAGGTCGGTGAAGCAAAAAGAAACAAAAAATTGGTGGAGTTCTGACGGTGAGGATTGGGGGTAATCTGGTCGGAGAAGGTGAGTCTCCGATCAGAAGAAATGATAACTCGTTCCAAGCTCGTGGAGCAGCTCTTTGAAGATTATCGGATCCGAGCCCGGCACCGGTGTCCCGCGCTCACCATTTTCTCCCCGAAGCCGCATCTCGTTTCCTGGTATAACAATTCTCTCCACTTCTTCCCTCCATCCACTCCTTCGAATCGTTTACATTTGTCGTTCTCTGGATATGGAGGTTTTCCGATTGATTTCCTATGAGCAGCGGGTTTAAAAACGCGGGAAGAGTTGGAAGGGATGATGATGAATTTGGTTAATCGGGCAAGGTGTTGCTTAAATTTTAGGGTTTAGGTCTTTGTTTTCCTCCAATTCTTTTGCGAAAGGCGGGCCCTTTTAGTGTTGATCATAATTCAGTTCCAAGTTTTCGAGCTTTCATTCCAGATCGATTCGTGGCTACTGGAAGTGAATGTGGTATGGCATCTGAATTCCAGTTAGGAGTATTACGGTTACTGTACAATTAGATCGATTCAACCACCAACTGAACTATAGTTTCCATCATCACTAAGCAACATCTAGGGAAGTATGAGTATAAACCAGCTATCATTTCAATGTTACTAGCTCTCAAGCATCTGTAAATTGTCTTTTGACACCGTGTTCTGTGGCTAATTTCGTGTAGGGCTGATGTTGCCGTGGCACTCGTTTGGGCACTGGTCTTCAGCATGCTTGTAATCTTGTCATGTTTAGCCATTCATTTCCGGCACTTCTGGGTTTCAGCCATTGAAATCTGTCTTGCGACGTTGCTTCTTTTACGCCTCCAAAGTTCAAGGCAAGCACTAGCCAAAAAGAGGGACAGAGGGCTTCCTTTGTCGATGTAAATAACTTCCCTGAAGAGAACGAAAGAAGTAGTACAGAATGATTTCCTGATCCAGGTGGTTTCTTCTAGCACCTAACTAATGATTCTAAAATTTGGAGCACCTAGTCATCTGGAAAAATCAAGTGCACAGCGTCCGGAATGGTATGCATTTTTCTTTCGTCTGAACCGATGTTGTTACATTACCAATACCATACCCAAGGCATGAGAATGTTGCACTGCTCTTTTCTTACTGACATGTAAAGGTATCGATTATCGTTTCAGCTGAGGGCAGCAACATAGCGATTTTTTGCCCCCAGCTGGCTTGTAAACCTGTTTAGTTTACGAGAATCATTCCGAAAAGGGATCTTGTAGAATGAGCTGTAAGAAAATTATTTGTAGCGAACTCCTAAATTTAAACTGGGCCGGTATGTCCTAGTTTTACCTATTTGGCAAGATATTTATCTATCATATTCCTTGCGTTCTTCAATCAGCCTTGCTTGATCTAAGTTTTTGCTAGTGATTGAACCTTAGCTTGAGGTTTGGACTTATGATAGGGTGAGATTTTGCTTATCAACTTGTTTAAGAGGCTAAGATAATTGATGTCAACCATTCTTCCATTGCTTGAAGTGCAAAGAGTTTAAATCTCTAATCAGCCCACCAATTGCTAAGCATTTCCTTTTCATCTCCCAGGAAAAAGGCATAACACAGACCTACCATCCACCAATTTGGACCATTCTTTTCTCTAATCTGAATCCATTTGCCTTATAGAATTTGGTCTTTGTTATATTGTTAGCCAACCATAATAAGTACCTTCCAACATCTTTGAGGTTGAAGTGAGAAAACAGAACATTTCGAATATGCTGCGAGAAACAAGAAAAGCTTCAGGAAACCTGGTTTGTGGCAAAGAAGGAAATATCTTTCTTTTTTAATGATGATGATGGTGCAGTCCTGTTTTGCAGGGACCATATATGTCACTAGTCTACAATCGTGCGCTCACTGATTGAGATTATGCATGTTTCTTGTACACTTTTGTTCTATGTCCCCATTCTTTTGTGGGTTGCTCTGTGTTCCAAAGTCAACTAAAGAAGCCCAGATGGACACGAGAAGCATGATTGGCATATTTAGGGAGGCTAAGTGATGATGGGGTATAATATATCTCTCCTTGTCTATGATCTTTTCCCTATCTTTTCTTTTCAAAAGCCTCAAATGTGGTTGTTGTTGTTGTTGTATGGTCCCCTTTAAGGGTAGGGGACCAAATTAGCTCTGTATCCTCAAACATGGATTGAGGTACCAGTTGTCATCCTCAAAGGAAGAGGAGGAGGAAAAGGCACAAAAGGAATATAACATAGAGTTGATAGTGATTGATAGCTTTGCAGGTGACCCATCTAATTCATCTTTTTTGATGTGTTGCCCCCAATGCATGTGGGATTGGTTATTATGCTTGTAGGGCCGCATGGGCTGGCATCGTTGTCGTCGTCAGCTCGTCACTCACTCGATCTCAGCTGTTGGATCGCTGTGGGCGATATCATCTACAAGATTGCCATCGGGTCGATCCAACTGATGAATTCGCGCGGGGAGACCGATCTCGATGGTATCCACACATGCTTCTTACCCTTTTGATCTGTAGCCCTTCTGTGTGTTTCTATAGAATGACATTTGGAAACATATCTGTATAGTCGTAGTATAGATAGCAAAAGAATGAGGGGATGGCTTCTTTATTTTGCAGATGATATTATTGTGGTGCAGGGGGCCTAATAAGCTGTGAAATGATGAAAGACCATATCATGCTGCATCAGGTAATGGTAGTGGCTCATTATGGCATATACAAGGGATGACCGATAACAAATGACTTATGAGCTGTTTGTTTCCTGAGAATATTACTGAAATGAATAGGGAAAGGGAAAGATAGTAGAAAGGATTAAGGAGGGCGCATGGGGTTGGTGTAGGGTATATAGTTTAGTGGCACAAAGAAAGAAAGTACCTTTTTTGTTTCATGGAACATGCTGTCTGTCTGCATTACCAGTGGATTTTTCCACTGTGTAAAAAAGGATTAAAGCGAAACAAAGCACTTGATTGGTTGAAGGCCTCTTTTTATGTTCTTCTTCCTGCTGTTTCTTTTAGCCTTTTCCTTGATCGTGTTCTCCTCCTCCATAGACAATGCCGTTGGTAAGTGAGAAAGGAAGTATTTGTGTTCTTAGAAAGCCAAACAACACCACCCTAAAGTCTAGCTAGCTAGAAAAACGAATCCCAGAACTCCTGCATATTTGCTTCCTACTTCTTTCCCTTTCAGTCTGTATTCGGATTTGAGATGGTAAGATGGTGCAAATCACTAGCTATGTCGTAGAATCGATTGTGCGGTGAAGCGAATTCACGATGTAGAGGATTGAGCGAAAAGTTTTCGGAGATTGGAGATGTGCATCCCACACTGCAGAAACCTTTTTTTTCCTTGGAGAGAAGGATGCATTCTCATTGTAGGAGCCGTTCCACTTAGGACCAAAATATGGTGATTCTTGGCCTAACGCAATGATTGGATTGACATTGATTAGGCATAAACCCATGAACCTATGTAAGCTAAGACGTGCCAAAACAGTACGTGAAGAAAGTAGCATTGGCATTGCATAATGACGTTGTTTTGCTTTGAAGGGTGGCCCGCCCATCGCCTTCTCTTCCCCGCCATTACCAGTACCAGGAGGCCGGCAATTAGCACACGATTTCAATATCTAAGAAACATAATCATGGTTTAGAGCAGGCCCCACATATATAGACCGGAACTCCAATTTTTTTTTTTTTTTTTTTTTGACAATGGAACTCCAATTAGCTTTGCTTGTTTTATCACACATCTCAAATTATTAAGATTTCATGAATACTCGACAAATTTAGAAGAATTCAATCAAAAAGCATATTAATATATAAAAAATTAATATATATAGCCTAACATTGAACTTACTGTTTTTTTTGTTAATGGTGACATTCATTATTATTAAAACCAAAATTTATACAATGAAACAAACAGGTCCACAGGGAGACCATCTAACACAACCAAAAAACTGATTCTACTCCTACTGCAATTGCCAGAGCAGAAGGAAACAACTAAGCTACAACAACAAGAGTATAACTCTCTTATCTTAAAGCGTTGACAATGAGGAAGCCCAACAAGAGCATCGCCTGCAACTCTCATCAGTCATCAGGGCAAAAGTTTCCCTAAGCATGGAACACCTTCCCACAAAATTCTAGTCATCCTTGATCGCTTTCATTACCACTTCTTGTCATATTCACATTGGTTGGCATCAAACTCCTCCAAGTGCAAGTGTGAAAGTTTCAAATCCTTCTTTTATCTCTTTCTTATTCTATAACATATTTCTTCATCTATTGTCTGTAGGGTCTACATCTATTGCCCATTAGATTTCTCGTAATAGTTATTGTCTATTAAGTTTTCATATATTGTTCATTGCTTTCCATATTGTAACAATTATCTATTAGATTTTCGTCTTTTGCCCAGATCATCGCCTTGGTCCACCACTTCGCAACCCAGCTCGAAACATTATCGACGAAATTATGAGTTGTCCTCTTCTACTGTTTTTCATTACTACTACCGAAGATCCATACCATATCTATTATGCACAATCCTCTCATTCGCCCAAGAATGCACGACTTTTCTCCAAACACTCTCGGTGGAATCCTAAGTTGTATCCATTCACCGTGTCCCAAGATCGCTACCGAAATTCCATACCAAATCTGCTTTGTGTTGTCGAATTTTGTATCGGGAACGAGTTTCATATTCTTTAGTGTTTTCTTATATCTCTTTTTCCCTTTTTGTTAAACATGACAATTGAACTTAAACTCATGGATATCCATATAATTCGACCAGGTCAAAGTGACTTTGAACCCAATTTTAGTATTTTTAAATTTCTATTTTTTTTTTCTTTCAATGAGAATGACAATTGAACCCAAACTCATGGTATTGACGAGTTTTGTATCGAGAGCCAGTTTTATTTGTTTTTATAGTTGACAGGTTGGGTCGAGTGTGAGTTTGTTAAAAACTCGATTCGACCCGGTCAAAGCAAGCTGAACACGATGTTGACGAGTTTTTGATCAAGAGCGAATTTTGTCTGCTTTAATATTTTTGTTTCTCCTTTTCCTTTTGGTTGACAATGACAATTGAACCCGGACCCGGTGCTGACGAGTTTCATATAGAGAGCGAGTTTTATCTGATTTTAGAATTGACATGTAGAACCAAGTGTGAATTGATAAAAAATCTGTTCGAACCAGTCAATGCGAATTGAACTCGTTCTGTAGAGTTTTTGGTAGGGAGCGAGTTTATCCGCTTTAGTGCTTTTTTATTTATCCTTTTCCTTTTGGTTGATAACCCAAACCTATAGGCATCCAACCTAATTAAACCTGGTCAAAACGACTTGAACCCGATGCTTACAAGTTTTCGGGCGGTAGTGAGTTTTATTCACTTTTGAAATTGGCTGGTCGGGTAGGTAGTGAATTTGTTATAAAGTCGGTTCAACCTTATCAAAGAGAGTTGAACATGATGTTGCCAAATTTTGGGTCGTGAGCGAGTTTTATCAGCTTTTGTGTTTGTTAATTTTTCTTTCTTTTTGGTTGAGAATGAAATCGAACCCAAACCCATGGGTTCAACCTAATTCGACCTGGCCAAAGTGATTTGAACCTGCTCAAGCCTACGATTAATCCCGAAAATCTATAAAAAGGAGAATCAAGATGAACTTAAAAAAATAAAGCAAAAAAAAAAAAAAATACAAACTAGAGAGAGAAAAAAATACAAACTAGAGAGAAGATAAAGCATAGAAATCATTTGCCGATGACCTTTCTCACTTATTAAAGTCATCGTTGCGTGGACTACATACATGGAGTTATAGATGATACACTCTTTACTTTTAGGTCAAAATTCGAACCGCAATCCATTAGTGAAAGACATCTTAGATCCTCTTAGATCCAAGGACTGGACCATCATTGCATTCTATTCAGTCCATCATTTCTTCAATACTTGTAAAATTCACGAGAACCAAATACCGTACCGCATTATTCTTAATCCGATACAGTCCGAACCATTGCACATAACTAGATATATTGTTAACAATTATGTCCACACATGATCACCTTCCACACAACGCGAAGTTTGAATGAGTACACTTGTCACTAAAAAGTGATAGGATCGTATGTGAAAAAGTCCCTTATAGTCACTAAAAAGTGATAGGAACACAAACCAAACAAACTAGCTAGTTTAGAAATACATATATGATCGTTTGCTTCATGGATTTGAAAATGAGGGTTTTGGTAAAACCTGAGTTTTGAAAAACCATGGATATATGATGGATTTGGTGGCATTATGGATTTGAACAATTCTATTGTTTGCTTGATGAATTTGATTATGGACTTTGTTTGATTAGATTTGTGGATATTAAATGCAAATTACCTTGTTACCCTTATTTAATTATATTTCTATATTATAATCCAAAATTTTCATTTAAAACTAATCCAAAACATAGAAAGAAATTTTAAACTCTTCACCACTATGTGAATTACTACAAATATAGAAATTTATTATAATTTGGCACTAATTAACAATTCATCTAATAATGTGCGTAATATTATGTGTCAATTACAACCAATTGCTCGCTTTATTGCTGCAACTCATCATCTTCTTGCTAACTCACCGATGTGGAATCCGACAGTCAATCAAATAATAATGCATAAGATGAGCATAAAGTGTTTCTAGGTGAATCTAATAAATCACATATACATTCATAATTAAATAAAATACGATATTACAAAACGAAATGATAAATTCTCATATTTATAAAATACGAAATTATAAAAGTTTATAGTTGCACGACCATTGAATTAAAGTAGGACAAATTTGTAATTAAAGAAATAATTAAGGGTAGAAATGTAATTTACCATCATGGATTTTAATCCATCACTCAAATCCCACCTCAAGAGGTGGAACTTCCAAGTCCGTGGGGTCCACGGATTTGGAACCCCAAAAGAAGTGGGCCCCACAAATTCCATCTTCCTAATTCCCTAACAGCCTGTTTGGATTGACAAAAAAGTAAGGAATTGGAATTCCATTTCCAATTCCATTTCCATATATTATGTTTGGAATAATAAAAAGGTTGAGAATTGAATTCCAATGGGTCTAAAATATGGGAATTACAATTCCTATCAAAAGTGATAGGAATTGAGAGAATGAAGATGGAATTAGTGGGACCCATCAATACTTTTTATTATTTTGTTGACCCACTATCATTTTACTCTCTTTCTCTCTCATTCATATTTCATTTCCCAAAATAAAACAAACATATTACATTATTCATTATGGTTAAAAGTGCAATTCATTTCCATAGTTGTAGGAATTATACCAAACACTAGAATTGGAAATGGAATTCTATAAAAATAAAAAATTGAATTCCATTTCCATTTCCATTTCTTCCGGAATTGTATCCAAACAGGCTGTAAGGCAAACGATGGATTTCGGTTCAAGTCCATGATGAATATATTTCCATGACCAAATCCATCACCAAAACCCTCAAACAAACGACCCCTATAGTTTCATCTATTGCTAATCATCAGCTAGTGTAGTATTAAGCATGAATTAGCAGGCATATAACATATTCTTGACTGCTAGTAATAATTAGGATCCGAGTTTGTCATCGGATCTCATATAGACTCTTTCATGAGTGGGTAACGACCGAGACAAAGCACCTTATTTGATTTTTGTGTTCTTTTTGTTTTGTTTGATTTTTGTTCCCTCTTTGTTCTAGACTGGTTTTTGTGCCTTAACTCGAGAATGTTTCCTTTTTTGTTAATAGCTTGCTCTACTACTGGTTGAGCTGCTAGCATTTTTCTAATAAAAATTTTCAATCATTCATCAAAAAATAATTAGGTATTTAGGTGATCTAATTAATCTATATTGGTTGGAGCGTTAAACTGAGTAAAAATGGGAGATTAAATATGGTGAACTTTGACGTCGTGTGATTTTTACATGGATTTGCAGTATAGGTTGCACTCAAGTAATAATTCAACTTTGGAGGATGATGAAAAACAAAAGAGTTACATGGTTGGTTTTGA